AAAATGGAAGAAATTTCAGTCTACTATACTTGGCATACCATTTGCATAACTCCAAGAAAACTGTCACAAAGGGATAATAAAAAATCATAATGCTCTTAAAGAACCACATATAATGCCTGCAGCTAGGCTTCTTAGAAGAGAAACAAACACAGCTTTAAGCTCTCTGAGCTGGATCAAGATCCAAAAACAAAAGAGAGACTAAATATAGATGCTTCTATATTCACTGGGAGAAGTGATCCCTCTTCTCATGTTTGGCAAAAGAATTACACTAGGTTTGAAAATAACTTATAATCCATATTGCCAGTTTTTTAAATTCTTTGAACATAAGTCATTGCTTCTCCTATAGGAATGACTATGACAATATTTCTCATCATATTGTAGGCTCTTTGAGGGCAAGGAGCTCTTGTATTCAATGTTGTCTTGTGTCCTCATTGTCTAGCATAAACTTTTGAACATAACATAATCTCAAATTAAAATGTTCAATGATAGGAATTGAAAGGGTCCTAGCAGCACAATAGTGGGACTTAAAAGATGAATGTTCCAGTCTAGTCTTTGTCTTTGTGAAAACTTGGCAGGGTTCCTATCTCTATGGGCCTCAACCCTCACTTTGGAAAAAAGGAGGTTAATAATACCTATCCTGTTTAGTTTGGGGAAGAATTATATGATGTATCATGACTAGTGTCCAGTATAATATCTGGCATAGATTTGTCTCTTGAGACATGGGTCATTTTTCCCCCCCTACCTCCTAAAATCTCCTCGAGGATTAGAAAGATCAGCAGGCACATGGTTCATGTTATCTGGACATTCTCCATCTGCTCTTATCTTTAAGGCTCTGCCCACTTCAAAACTGATTTCCAACATTTATTAAAACTTTGACTGGTGCAACCACTGTGGAGAATAGTATGGAGTTTCCTCAAAAAACTGAAAAGGGAACTCCCATTTGACCCAGTAATCCCACTCCTAGGAATATATCCCAAGAAACTAGAAACACCAATCAGAAAGGATATATGCACCCCTATGTTCATAGCAGCACAATCTACAATAGCTAGAATTTGGAAACAGCCTAGGTGCCCGTCAGCAGGTGATTGGATCCAAAAACTATGGTACATCTACACAATGGAATACTATGCTGCCATAAAAAAGAAGGGATTCTCATCATTTGCAGCAACCTGGATAGAATTGGAGAACATCATGCTGAGTGAAATAAGCCAGTCAATGAAAGAGAAATACCACATGACCTCACTCATTTATAGTTAATAAAGAACATTATAAACTGATGAACCAAAAGATAGATATAGAGACAGTAAAGCAACAAGCAGACTGTCAAATTATAGCAGGGAGGGTAGGGAGAGGTGGGGGATATAAGAGATCAACCGAAGGACTTGTATGCATGCATATAAATATAACCAATGGACACAAAACTGGGGAGGGAGGGTATGTATGGGAAGGGGGGAGCAATGTTAAAATATGTACACAGATAATAATTTAATAAAAAAATTTTAAAAAAGAATGCCACTAATTAAAAAAAGAAATAAAAAATTAACTAGTGTCTAAATTTAAAAAATTAAAAAAAAAACTTTGGCCCTTGACCACATTTCCCTCTTACCCAAGTACTGACATCATGCTGGGCAATACCAATGTCTGGGTGAACAACACACCCAACTATTTTTAATTCCCTCCTATTCACCTGGCCCTACAGTTATGAGGGTGGCCAAACAGGGATTGTGCAATGCTCGCATGATACTAATGACGCTCACACTCAGGAGAAGAGGACACCCCACATCAGGCAAGGACACATGGAGTGTGTCTGGGAACAGAGTGAACAACTAGGGGTAGTGGAGGCAGGCTTTATAGTATCAATAGGGTGAGTGATCCTGGTTTCCATGGGAGATATGATTGGCTTGCTTAAATAATTCTACAGAATGGCAGGGAACTGCAGCCCACTTCTCAGGGGTAAGCAGAAACTGCACCTGATCCCTGTGATAAGAAGGGTTATCTGGCTAGGGGATCTTACTTGTGAGAACAAAGTGGGGGGGGGGGACCGCGGGGGAAGCCTGGGATTAGGCCATTGAGGTAATTTCTGTTTTGCCAGATATCAAGGCAGCACATAATATTTAGCCTTAATTTTAGACCTCATAAACCACACCAATTCATGTTTGACTTCTCAATTTCTTTAACTCCAGGAATTCACCTCCAATTTACTTTGGTGGGGATTATACTTTCAGTCTAATACTCAGAATCATAATTTCCAACTTCCCACCTTCTTACCATCCTTCTGGTTCTATTTTATTGTTCTTCGATCCTCTCTGAAAAAAACAACTCTGAATCTATTGTGTTTACTCTGCTGAGAACTATAAAGGGAAACCATTCAGCCAATGGGATTTGAATTTTACATTTTTTAATCCTTGACTGTAAGTGGATTATTATATTGCCTAGAAGCTTACGACCTTGTTCTCTCAATAAGCAGCAAAGCTGCTACAAATTTCACTGTTATTATCAAGGCCCTATTCAACCTTTCTCTAGTCATTCTCACAAAGCACATGAGATAAAAATTCTATCTACACTGCATCCTCCCTTAAGCCTATAGAGAAAGGGACATTTCTCTTTCTTTCCACCACCAAGTATACTCTTGTACTCTGAATCTTTTCTTGTCTCATCTCCTTGACATCTTTTCCATCTTTTTCTCTTCTTTTTCCTCAGTCTCCTTCTCTCAGTTGTGCTTTTGTATTAGCATATAAACATCAAAGGCTCTTCTACTTTAAAAATCCCACCTTTGGCCCTTTAACTACTATTGTTATATCTTTTTTCTTCCCCTTACAATCAAGCTGCTTTAAAGAATATGTTAGAATTTAAATTGCTTCCAGCTCCATTCATTCCTAACTCAATGCAACAATAGATTTGCCAATACACATCAGTAAATTGGCTTTCATCAACCTAGTGTAAGGCTTTCAGTTCTTATCCTGCTGAACCCTCTAGAACATGGGGCATTGTCAGTTCTGCACACCTCCAGGCTTCTGGGACACCTCTCTTCTAGTCCCTGATCACTTGTGTTTAGTCATCTTTCCTTTGTTCCCCCTCCCCTGCCCACCTTTAATGCTAAAGTTCCTCAAGGTTCAATTCTCAGTTATGCCTCTTAGGTTGTCCAATCCATACCCCAACTGCTGACTTTCAAAGCAATTTATCTTACTCAGAACCTCTCCCTGTTCCAGAGCTCTGTCTCAAACTGACTACTAATTATCACCTTCTTTTGCATGTGCCCCAAACTTAGGGCACAGTAAATTCATCACCTTCTACATCAGACCTTACTACGAGTGTACTTCATTTTACATCCCCTATTTTGTTTTTTACTCCCCTACAACTAATCCAAAATCCCAGGAAATATCCAGATCTCTTCCTGTCTGCTTCATCCCTTGTATTTTTGCATCTCTGTATTCTTCTATCCAAGCCTGGACTCATACAATAGTTTCATAGTTTCCTCCAGTAAATAACAGTCTTTAGTTCTCCAAAGAGTTTGATTTCCCAAATCTGATCTACCAAATAGCTTGAGGAACATTATTTAAAAATATAGATTTGTTATCTGTATACCTATTTCCCTATCTTCCTCTTCCCATACAACATGGGTCGGCAGCTAAGTAATTGCGGATTTTTTCAAGAAAATCAAAGACAATTTTTTCATGGAACTAAATAACTTTATTCTGTAATGTATTGCCCATTTTGATCAATGACCTTTTGCCATCTTTCAGGCAGCATCATAATCCCACGTTCAAAAAACTTCTGGTTTTTATTAGCAAAAAACTGAATCAGGTACGATTTGACATCATCATCATTATTGAAATTTTTACCATTCAAGGAGTTTTGTAAAGATCGAAACAAAAAGTAATCAGATGGTGCAAGGTCAGGACTATATGGTGGATGTGGCAAAACATCCCAACCAAGCTCCATTAATTTTTGCCGAGTGACCAAAGATGTGTGTGGCCTTGCATTGTCATGATGGAATACAACACCTTTTTGATTTGTCAATTCGGGCCGCTTTTCTTCAACTGCATAGTTTAATTTCGTTAGTTGTTCAATGTAGACATCAGAATTGATCGTTCGGTTGGGTGGTAAGAGTTCAAAGTAGACAATTCCTTTGTAATCCCACCAAACTGATAACAAAACCTTCTTTTGATGAATATCAGCTTTTGATGTTATTTGAGTTGGTTCACCTGGCCTGCTCCATGATCTTTTCCGCTTGATATTGTTGTAAACAACCCATTTTTCATAGCCAGTTATCAGTCGTTTTAAAAATGGATCATTTTCATTATGTTTCTTTAGCAAATCGCAGCTGCTAATGTGTTGCATTAACTGTGATTCTTTCAGTTCGTGAGGAACCCATGTATCGAGTTTTTGAACATAGCCAAGTTGTTTTAAGTGATTTTCAATGCATGTATGCGATACATGAAGCTTCTCTGCAATCTCACGTGTTGTACTGTGACAGTCCGAATTAATTATTGCTTTGATTAGGGCGTCATCAACTTCAACTGGACGACCAGAGCATTTTTCATCTTTGAGTGAAAAATCACCAGAACGAAATTTGGCAAACCAATTTTGACACTGACGTTCTTTTAAGGCTTCGTCACCATAAACAGCACATAACTTTTTATGAGCTTGCGATGCGTTTTTCCCTTTGCGGAAATAAAAAAGCAAAATATGACGAAAATGTTCCTTTTGATTTGCCATTTTTCAACGAATGCCAAACGAAAACTACAAAACAGATCAAAAAACTTTTTTTACTGATTAACAGCTGAATAGCCAACTATCAAATAACAAAATGTGTTTTACATTTGTACTACTTCTGCAAACCTAAAAATTCAACTGAAGCCATATATGTGTGAAACCCGCAATTACTTAGTTGCCGACCCAATATTTCCCTATCTTCCTCTTCCCATACAACATGGAACCAGAAGGACAAAAATAATCAATGTTTATAAATTTTCCCAGGTGAATATCAAGTAAATCACCCTCTGATAAACACTGGGCACTGGTAAGGTTTTCCAGTCATGGTGTTGCATAGTTTTGTGCTTCGGAAAGATAGCTCAGGCTGTGGTGTGCAGGGTGAACTAGAGGCTGATTCAGTGCAACCAACATGTTTTCTTACATATAAAAACCGAAAAGGCACCCAGGATAGCCACCACTGCATGTCCATGTAGTGGTTCCTGTCAATAGACACTCTGTAAGTATTCTTATCTACCCTCCTAGTGATTGACAGCTGTGCTAACTGCCCAGAGTGAGCAAGAAACTCAGAAATATTAATGAATTTTCATAAAATCACACAGTAACTCAGTAACATAAAGATCAGATTTTTATGATTTTCTGTCTCCTTGTCTTGTATAGTTTCCCAAGCCAGTTCACTGTCTATAGACGGGTTATCATCATATCGTCTTTAAATAAATCTTCCCAATGGCTTATGGAATTAACCAACACCTCATTTCCTCCTTACGTAAGTGTTCAGACAATCATATCTATTAGGGAGCCCATGCCTTCCAAATCCCCTGAAGAAGGTTCAAATCTGAGAAGTGAATACATTTTATCTAAGCAGAGCCTGTCAGAACATTTTTAATAAAGGCCTGGCCCAATTTCAGAGCATTCTTTTCATTAGGGCAGGTCTGAAAGCAAAGGCCTTGAAAGTGCTTAGAAAAACATAGTGTAATCACTATGGTACCATTATCCTGTCCCTGGTAATCATTAGGCATCAGCTTGCCAAAGCGAAGGGCGGTAAATTACTCATGTATTGTTACCTGAGCTGTGCAGAAGATTGAAATCTGGACTACTAATGATTTTTTTTTCACCTTGTTTGGGAGAGGCTGTAGAAAAGTTCACATGCAGCACAGCTGCTGGCTGGCTGGCTGGTGAAAGTGCTTTCAGACAAACATGAAAGGGAAGCAAAGCATCACCTCCCTTCAAAAGTGAAGCGGAAAAGCTCCGCATCCTTTCATGAAAGCAGCTCTCAGGGAGAAATACTAAAAGTCGTCAAGATCTATATATTCCTGGATAAGAAACTAGTTCCTCGGCTTTGAGTCGATTTTTACCTGCTATAAAAGATATTAGACAGACAACAAGCTGGATTTAACAGAAATCAAGTTTAAGGTAAATATTTACCAACAGTTTGTAGAAAAAAATTCTTATTTAGTGGCATCATCTAATGAATTGGATGTTGTTGTTTTTGTTTTGTTTTGTTTTATTTTATTTTGTGGTTTTTTTTGGTCTGCTGCTTCAGCAAGTTTGGAATTCAATAAAGGCTTGAGTGTAGGTGAGATGAAAGAGAACCAAACCATTCCTAACCTTGTTAAAGCATTTACAAAATCTAATACAAGCAGTGTGATTGGGAACATGAGAAGTCAGCCATTACTACGTTTGTGTCTGTACCTAAAAAGACATCTGACGAGAACACCTAGGTTCCTGATACTGCGGATAATGGATGTAGGCCAGGTGGAGAGTTCTAGACCGTTTTGTGAATGTGAAAGGTCACATTCACGATGGAGATCGAATGCCTCTTACTTCTATAGGAAAAAGGACGGTGTCTGGAATGGGGACATGAGAATCAAAAAAGCATTTATTTCTACTGCTGGCTCAGCTGGTGACTGCTTCTTTAGTTTGAGGCAATTTTCCCAGCCAATTTGTGACTAAATCTCAGCATCTACAAAATGAGGTTAGGCATCTGTGCTGTTTGAGACCCAGCTAGTACGTATTACTAGGACTTTTGTTCGTGTTATTAATGTTTATGATGCCTTAATGGATTTTCAGAGAAAAAGGATTATACAAGCTCAAAGTGTTATGAATATTATTTTTCATGTTATTACAAAGGGTATTGTGGAGGCTGATGAATTAACATTCCCAATATTCTTTAGGGAAAGTTGTAATAAACATTAAAGGTATTATTTAATGAACAGATCAGTCCCTAAAAATTATGTAGAAAACCTACATGAAATAGCTTCCTGGTCAACCTGATATTAGGGTCATATCAGACTCTTAGTCACCTAAAGTATTTACCAGAATATAGATATAGTTATAGATATAGATATAGATATAGATATAGATATAGATATCCATGTAAACGCAGAGTGCCAGTGTACCCATATTATCCAGAAAGATGAAATAATGTGTCATAAAGTTTCATTTGTTCAAAAATTTGATGGTCTAATAATTTGTATATTAATGTTTCTTTTGTTTCACTGTTGATTTCTTAAACAGTTCTTAATACAATATAAACCCATTTTCTAACAGATGGGGTTTTAATATAATAGTATCCTTGGGGTTTTGTATTTTTGTCAGAGATTTGCTTGATATTTAATGCCTCAGAGATGCTGGACATATTTTTATGGTGCCTGGCTTTGAATAGCTATTAAAGTGTATATTACAGGCATAAGGCACCTTCAATTTGCAGTATTTTACCTACTTATGCCATTTCCAGGGCTCTCTATTGTAGCATTATCATTAAGGTTGCTGGCCCTTTGCTGTCAACAACATGATTGAATTCTATTACAGTTGCTCTTGATATAAAATCCTCTCATGTTCGTTGGCACTAAAGGTGCAGGAGCCATGCAGGAGGTAACATAAAAAGGAGCAATGTGCTCTGAACTGAAAGCAGGAGAGCGGGAGCCTGGAGAAGGTAAATAGATCCCCGATGCAAGACATCGCTGTATTACCATACTCTCTGGGGGCAGGCTTTCTTTTGAAGTTTAGTTCATAAATACTAAAGAGAGTTCTGCTCTCATTTTGCTTTTCTCTCTAGGACACTGGAGCTGCGATCTGGAGGAAGTCTCACAAGGAAAGGCTCAGTAAAGAAAATGGCGGTCTGCCGTAAGACAGAGGAGAATCTAATCAATGAGTAATGCCCCCTAATTTACATTCAATAATGGTGCTTCTTACACTTAGGAAAGAAGAACTCAGCAGCCCTTCTTACAACCAGAACAGCAAAACAGGTACCACAGGTAACTAAAGAACAGAGGTGCCCACTTTATAAAACCAACTTGTCTTCAAAAACTATTTACCAGTACCCTTGAGCTTGTGTCTGGGTTTCAGTTTCCTCATCCTCATAAGGCTGTGGGGAAGGTGGTATTAGTGAATATTTGTGAAACTTCGAAATGCGTGGCCCACAGAACATGCTGTCTTCCGTATGCAGCAGTGAGGTCCGGTACCACACAGCCTCCGCAGGAAGGCACATTTGCACCTGTCCCACCTCTGCCTGAGGAATACGCGCGTGTGAGGAAATGAGGTGACAGAGAAGTGGAGCATATAGAAACATAGCCAATTCACTGTAATAAAGGGATATTCCATACAGTCCTAATAGCTGGTGATTGCTGGGCACGGACTTGTGCTGGATTGAGCCTTCCTGTGCATCATTTCATTGCATCCCTCAGGAACGCTCTGAGGGAGGCATTCTCGTTAGCCTCAGTTTACCACTAAGGAAAATGAGGCAATGAGAGGAAAAAAATGACAATATTTATGTGAGGAGCTGGGAGTAGTTTATCCAGCTGCTATCCTTCATTTTATCGCCCTCCTTTCTCACTCCCATATTTGTATGGGGATAAGAATTGTTAACTGTGGACTAAACCATGAATGTCTGCATAGTTACAACTAAAAGATATCTATTTGTCCATGCATCACATATTTTCTCAGGGAGAACTGGAAGGTCACAATTAAAGAAGAATTTGTTTATAGGCATATAGCTCTACATCCTATATTAACAGAACTATCTTTTCATGTTTGTATAAAGGTTTTGGGGGGCTCAACATGCATGTCTTTTCTGTTCTCCTAAATGCCCATGGCAGAGCAAGGAGAGTGGTGCAGGGGCTGATCTGCCCTAGGTATAGATTGTAAGGAGGTACACTGTCTATGGAGAATTGAAAAAAAAATAAAAATAAAACCAAGCAAAAATCAGCCTGCTTTTTCTTAGAACCAGGCAATTCTAACCCCATTGGTGATAGAGCACTGTTCCTCACCAGGCAGCCTCCAGGCCCTGCCCTCCCTCCCCTCTGGCATGTCACCGCTTATCTGCCTTTGGGGAGGGAATTAAAGTGTGATACAAAGGAAATGAGATATTTTCAATAATAAAAATACCTAGCCATCTATCAGTTAGATATTTATTAGGTATGTAGATATTTTTAATGACTACTGTTAGAACACTTTCACAGCACAGAGAGAAAAAACAAACCTTTTATGAAAAGAAACACATACACCCAAAAACAAAGGTATAATACTGCCCCCAAAATCACTTTGCTCAATCGATCCCTAATATCCAGAGGGGCCGGGAGACACATATCTGCTTCATTTTGTTCCCATGGCTTGGCAGGGAGGTGGGTATTCTTTAATGATGAGAGGAGACTATAGGAAGCAGTTAAGAATAAAGCCTTTCCAATTTAACTGTTCCATTCTTTTCTTCTCCCCAAGATGACGGATGATGTATGGGAAAAAATAAGAATTCAGAACAGTGTGACTAAATCATACTTGTTAAAGTTAGAAAAGCCCTGAATAGGTCAATTTTACTGACTTCATAGAGGGAGAAAAGCACAAGAACCTTTCATGAAAGGTAAGAGGTTTGCAACTCCCCACCTGAGCTTACAATTACTGTTTACTCACCTGTGTACTACCATTATTGTCATCAGACTTTATGGATAAGGTCATCCCATGGCAAAACTATAAAATAGGTGTTGTTCTTTGGTTCACCATTCTTTTTGGAACACTCTTACAGCTTTGCTGGGTTCCCATCTCCTCATATGCTGATGCACCCTATCAACCACCACCACCTCCCACACCCGGTCACCAGACATAACAGTTTGAGGGCTTCGGCAATAACTTGTGTTCCTTATCTTTCCCACTTACTTTCTCCCATCAGCCTTTTTCCCTCCCATGTTCTATTCCCTCGGAACTCTGGTCTGAGAAAACAGCTGGGGATACATTGCTCATGCCACTTCCTAAAGGTGGATTGGCCAATTGCTTTTATTTGAGTAAACTAGAGGCCCAGTGCGTGAATTCATGCATGAGTGGGGTCCAACCGGCCTGCCCTGATGTGGGCCAATCAGGTGGGGCCAGGGCCGGCCTGGGGGAAGGACTTTGGGCAGTTGGCTGGCTCTGTACCCTAGTCAAACTCCCATTCAAACTCCTGATCAGGGGGACAATTTGCATATTAGACTTTAATTATACAGGATTGGGTAGTTTCTCTGTGCTTTCAGGCTAAGAACTAAGAATTTGTATCCTTTAATATAGATTCCCCTAAATTAAGGTCAGGATTAAAAGATAACAAGAAACAAACACAACTATTCAGTTGCTTACTATAAGTGATGTTTAAGAAAAAATAGAGTAGCATTAACTGTCAGTTTTAGAAAATAAAAACAAATCGAGGCCCATTCATGAATTTGGGATAAGGCGAGTCCACAATGTAAAATTGGTCCTACTGAATTAAGCAGCAAATAAGTGTTTAAAACCAAAAGAGCAAAGGCGTAAGTAAGGCTAATGTAGAAAAATGGCTTTTTCTTAAGGTTCTTAAGGATTAAACCTCACAGATAACAGCATGGTGATTACCAAAGAAGAAGGGAGGTAGGGGAAGGTAGGAGAAGATAGAGGGGGAATGAATGGTGATAAAAGGAGAGTTGACTTGGGGTGTTGGACACACACTACAATATTCAGATGATATATTATAGAGTGGTACACCCAAAACCTATATACTTTTATTATCCAATATCAAACCAATAAATTCAATAAAAAAGAGTAGATGTACCACAGTTTTTTAATTCACTCATATGCTGTTGGACACTGATTCCAAATCTTAGCTAGGATGAATTATGCCACTATGAACATAGGGGTGCATATATCCTTTCTGATTGGTGTTTCTAATTTCTTAGGATATATTCCTAGAAGTAGGATCACTGGGTTAAATGGTAATTCCATTTTTAGTTTGTTGAGAAAATGCCATACTGTTCTTCACAGTGGCTGCAACAGTCTGCATTCTCACCTGCAGTGCACAAGGGTTCCTTTTTCTCCACATCCTTGCCAGCATTGTTGTCTGTTAATTTGTTGATGATTGCCATTCTGACAGGTGTGAGATGGTACTGCATTGTAGTTTTGATTTGCATCTCTCAGATAATTAGTGACTTTGAGCAAGTTTTCATACGCCTCTTGGCCTTTCTTTTGTCTTCTTTTGAAAAGTATCTATTTAGGTCCTTTGCCCATTTTTTTGATTGGGCTGTTTATCTTCTGTCTTAAGTTGTGTGAGTTCCCTGTAAATGTTGGAAATTAAAACCTATTGGTGATAACATTGGCAAATATGTACATCTACTAAATGGAATATTATGCTGCATTAAAAAAGAAGGAATTCTTACCATTTGCAACAGCATGGATGAAACTGGAGAGCATTAGGCTAAATGAAATAAGCCAGTCAGAGAAAAATAAATATAACATGATCTCACTCACTTGTGGAATATAATGAACAACATAAACTGATGAACAAAAATAGATCCAGAGACAGAGAAGTATCAATCAGAAGGAAGGTAGTGGAGGATGAGGGTAGGGAACAGAGATCAACCAAAGGACTGTATGCATGCATATAAGTCTAACCAATGGACACAGAAAACAGGGGGGTGAGGACATGAGTAGGGGGTGGAGTGGGAGGACAACGGGGAATAAGGATACATATATAATAACTTAATAAAGAAATAAAAAAAGAGTAGTCTCTTTTCTGCTTAATCCTTTGTAACTCCATAGAAAACAGAGGAAAGGATCACAAGCAACCATACCCTCCTCTGATCATGCCACCTAAATGTAAGAAAAAGATCAATTATGTCCCCAATAATACTATTATAATTATTATATCATATTTCCACAACTAACTAAGCATATTCAAACACCATATCTTTTGCTGATATCTTCTAAAGTGATATATTCTTGTAACTTGTTCAAGATGTATTTTGTAGATGCAGGTTAGTTAGGGCAGTAGAGAAGATATTTTGGGGAGGTGTCTTCAATTCATAGCATCATGGTTCTGTTTATTCGGGTAGGTGTTTTTTGCTTACTCTACATAAAACTTTATAAAGAGATTACTACCCAAGACAAGGAATATTTTGTCACTTCAAGACAAGATATCTTAACAATTCTAGATTCTTTTCTGTGTCTTTCTGGTTTTTTTTTTTGTTGTTGTTATTGTTTTGTTTTGTTTATAGTGGTGGTTATTTGTTTTTGGTTTTCAATTCTTTTTATGTCTTTGCCTTTTTTGTCTGTCTTTCATCTCTTTGACAATAATTTTCTTGGTTAAAATGTTCCATCGTGAACAGACTAGCTTATAAGTATTTTGGAAATAAGAGTGGAAAAAAAATGATTAAATTCAGATCACAGACAGCCTGTCAGACCAAAAAAGTTCAGGGAGAAATCACTGAAAGGTTTTGAACTGGGAAAGAACTGATGAAAAATATTTCTTTATGCTGGCATAAGAATGGGCTGGAAGATTTTGAGACAGGAATCTGTTTTTTAAGTGGAAACTAACAGAATACTATGGCAAAAATTCCCATTCAGCTTAATTTCTAGGGAATTTTATCAAACTCAGCATACTGTCAGAGTTGTGAGAAGTGGTATCAGTAGCAAAATGGATTTATATTCATGCCATTGACAAGAACTTAGAAATGAAAGCTTAACTGTTTTCTCAGTCTTCCATGATCTCTAGCCTCTGTGCATATTGAGTAACAAGTGAAGCTGATTAAAAAAAAATCTATGAAACATTTTGCAAAACAATTTTCATAAAATATTGTATGCGCAATACATATAAAACAATTTTATGCATATAAAATATTACACACACACACACACACACACACACACACACATATACATAAGCTAAGTGACCATCTGACCATTTGACCACTTGACCATTCTACTGTAGTTATGATGTGCAATGACCACCAGGAGGTAGAAACTCAATGCATAGGTGTGGAAACATGGAACAGACTGATGAATCTCAGAGGGAAGAGGGGAGGTGAAAGGGCGGGAAAAGATTAACCAAAGATCTTATATGCATACTAGAGGCCCAGTGCATAGATTTGTGTACCAGTGTGGTCTCTCCACCTGGCCTGCAGGGATCGGGCCAAAACCTCGCAGTCCAACATCCCCCGAGGGGTCCCAGATTGTAAGAAGGTGCAAGTCAGGCTGAGGGACCCCACCACTGCACAAATCTGTGCACTGAGCCTCTAGTATATAAATATGATAGTATGTTATTTTATGTTTTCTAGTATTGTTTTCTCTAAGTGTATAATTATTTTTAAGGTCATGGGTATAGCACACTGTGCTTTCATTGTTTTTAGTCAATGAAGGTTCAGTTATACTGTTTGAAATCAACATGTTTGGCAAAATTTATTCCTATTGTATATATAATCTTATGCCTTTTAGAGAAAATAATTCTGCCTGAATGCCCATCAGTAGATGAATGGATAAAAATGCTGTGGTACATTTACACAATGGAATACTATGCAGCTATAAAAAAGACCTAGTTACTTTTGAGACAGCATGGAGAGACCTGGAGATGATTATGCTAGTGAAATAAGCCAGTTAGAGAAAGACAAGTACTACATGATTTCACTCATATGTGGAATCTAATGAACAAAATAAAATGAATGAAATAGGACCAGAGGCATGGAATCATGAAACAGAATGACAAATCTCAGAGGGAAGGAGGAAGAAGGGGTAGGAAGAGATTAACCAAAGAACTTATATGCATATATGTATTGTTCATGGACACAGATAATATTCTAATTAATATTCATGAGGCCAGATAATAGGGTGGTGAAGGCCATGGGTGGGGCAGGAACCAGGGGTGGGGAAGCAGGGTGAAAAAGGGGGGTGGGGCATCTGTAAATCTCTCAACAATAAAGATTTCAACATTAATGCCATTTTATTATTCATATTTTATTTTTTATTTTTATTCTTGTTCTTAAACAAGTCCCTTAAATGTTTCTTATAGTATCAGTTTGGTGGTGATTAACTCTTTTAGCTTTTTAACGTCTGGGAAGCTCTTTATCTATTCTTCAATTCTAAATTATAGCTTTGCTGGGTAATCTTGATTGTAAATCCTTCCTTTTCATCACTTTGCATATTTCTTATCCCTCCCTTCTGGTCTGCAAAGTTTCTGTTGAGAAATCAGCTGACAGCCTCATGGGAGATCCCTTGTAGTTAACTGACTGCTTTTCTCTTGCTGCTCTTAAGATTCTCTATTTATCTTTAACCTTTGGCATTTTAATTATGGTGTGTCTTGATGTGGGCCTCCTTGAGTTCATCGTGTTTGGGATTCTCTGTGCTTCCTGGGCTTATTTGTCTATTAACTTTTTCCGTTTAGGAGAGTTTTCATCATTATTTCTTCAAATAGATTTTTAATCACTTGCTCCTTCTCACTTTGCCTTTTGGTACCCTCATGATGCAAATGTTGGTAGGCTTGAAGTTAGCCTAGAGGCCCATTAAACTATCTTCATTTCTTAGTCTTTCTTTCTTTCTTTCTTTCTTTCTTTCTTTCTTTCTTTCTTTCTTTCTTTCTTTCTTTCTTTCTTTCTTTCTTTCTTTCTTTCTTTTTTTTCTCCCCCCACCTGTTTGTGTGTTTTCTGCTACCTTATCTTACAAATTTCTCAGTCTTTTGCTTCAACAACATAATCTAATCTATTGAGTCCCTGTAATGTATTCTCCACTTCAATTACTGTATTCTTCATTTCCAAAATTCTTTTTTATGTTTTTTATTCTCCATTTATATGTTTCCTATACCTTTGTTGATGTTCTCACTGAGATCATTGTGCATAATAATGACCAGTGATTTGAACTCTGCATCTGGTAGATTGCTTGTCTCCACTTTGCTCAGTTCTTTCTCTGGAGTTTTGTTCTATTCTTTCTTTTGGGACATGTTTCTCTGACTCCTTATGTTGGCTGTCACCCTGTGTTTATGTCTATGTGTTAGGTAAAGCTACTATGTTTCCCAGTCTTGGTAGAATGACTTTATGTAATAGGTGTCTTGTGGAGTGTCACAGTCTCTCTGGTCACCTGAGCCAGGTGTTACAAGTTTGTCTTTTGTGTGAGTTGTCTGGGCCTTATAGCTGATCCTTATTTGTTGTTGGCACATCAGTGGGAGAGACATATCCTCAGGCTGATTGGTTGTGAGAACTGGCCGTGACTACAGTGGTGGAGCTGTGTGCAGGAACTGACACGTTAGAGCAGGATTCTCTTTAGAAGGGCTCCGTTGCATTCTGAATCTGTCCTTCTCATGTGTCATTTTGTGGAGGTGGTTGGATGGTGCTCTGGTGTGGTCTGAAACTGGCCACTATGTGTGTTGGTTCTGAGGCCTCTTGGAAAGGGCTCTGGTGCAGGCCAACATCAGTTGCTGCCTGTGGCTTTCCCCAGGGCTACTTGATAGGAAATACAAAGTGATCTGTACTAGTAGATGGTTAGTTGTACTGGGTTTGTAAGTGCCTGGGAAAGGCTAATCTGTGAATTTTCTTTTATTGAATTAATTGGGGTGAATTGAAGTCAGATGCCACTAGTGCTGTGGTGGGACCACTTAGCAAGAGGTACAGGGTATGCTGAGGCCAGATGCTGCTTGTTTGGTGTTTGTGAACTTTTAAGAAATTTTTAAAAAGTCTGCAGCATAAGACAAGATAGGCCATTTATATGGATATGGCACTGGAAGGGGCTTAGTGGCTTGGGTTGGCCTGCAAGTTGGGTGGAACAGGGTCTCAGAGAATCATCAAGGCAGGATGATGGAGACTGAGATATAAAAAGGAATAGAAAAAATAAAAATGAGAGAGAGAGAGAGAGAGAGAGAGAGAGAGAGAGAGAGAGAGAGAGAGAAACTCATATCTTCTTCCACTCAACAAAGGAACAATGGCTTTCACCAGCAATTCTGTCCCTCCAGTCCTTGCCCTAAAACCAGACAATTCAGTTCCTCTCAGTATGTTTCTGGTGCCTTTTGAGCTATTTCACTGGTGATGGAACTCAGAGTGAGTGAGTAGGAGTAAGTCCATCCCAGCCTTTAAATGGGATGTGTGAGACCCCAGCAGCCCTCTGTCTCAGCCACAATCTCTACTGGTTTTTATAGCCAGAAGTTATGGGGACTTTTCTGCCAACACTAGAACAAATCTTATGTGGGGCAGGGACCCTTGCTCTGTAGAGAGCACTTCCAAAGCTAAGATATCTTTGCCACACATGGGTGTGGGACCAGCCCATTCTCCATCTCCATCCCTCCTATCAGTCTCAACATGGCTTCTTCTGTAAATCCTTAGTTATTAGAACTTCTATTCAGCTAGACTTCAGGCGATTTCATGGGTTTTCTATAGTTTAGTTATAATTTTGATTTGGTCATGGGAGGAGGTGAGCATAGTGTTTTCCTACTCTGTCATCCTGACTTGAAGCCTCATCATATTTTCTTTTAACCATATATATTTACAACATTTGTGCACTGGGCAAGAGAGAATCCCTCAGTTGGGCCTGTGCCCTCTTGCAGTCTAGGATCCCACAGGGAGAAAGCCTAAGGCAGCAGGTGGACATCTCCCAAGGGGTCCTTAGCTCTTCTGTGGAGGCAGGAGAGGCTCCTGTCACCACGGCTGCACTCACCAGCCATGAGCCTGGCTTCTGGCTGAGCAGCACTCCCCCTGTGGGAGCACACTGACCACCAGGGGCATCTTCTGTATTGAGTATCTGCCTCCTGGTGATCAGTGCATATCATGGCAACTGGTTGTGCTGCTGTTTGGCCAATTTGCATATCAGGGTTTTATAATATAGGATCGCATGTACATGGTTTCCTTCAATCTTTGAACAAATTTGTAATTGCTTTGAAGTCTTTGGTAAATCTAAAACATAAGCTCTCTCAAAGTCAGTTTCTATTTACTGATTTTTCCTCTAAGTATATGTCACACTTGTTTTTTTTGTTTTTGTTTTTAAGTTTCATACTTTTTTTTGTTAAATATTGGATATTTTAGATAATATATTGTAGCAACTCTGGACTCTGATTTTTCTCTACGGAGTTTTTCTATCTCCTTCTTTCTCTCCCTCCTCCTCTCCCTCTTACCTCTCTTCCATTCACTTTCTCCCTCCCTCCTTTCTTTCCTTCCATTCTCCCCTATCCTTTCCTTTCTCTCTCTTTCTTTACAACTTATTCTGTAGAAGCTATCTCGTTGGCAATGTACCATCAATGATATCTGCTAAGATGTTTTAAATTCTACTTTTATTTGTTATCTTGGTTTCCTAGGGTCACATTTCATAGCTTAGTGGACAGCCAATAACTGGTTAGAGATGGTGCTAAACACTTTGAGCCATAAACTTACCTTAAGCCAATCAATCTGCTTGTGATTTGAAGAGGACATTAAAGTTCAGACAGTTTTCATGTCTGTCCCAGATTTTATTTTCCTCTCAGACTTCTTGAGTCTCTGTGTGTGCACACAGTCCCCAGTCATTCAGAAATGTGTGGAGAATATATATAGCCCCACTACAGCTCTTATACTTCCAGGATCTCCCTTTTATATGCCTGGCTGGTCTGTAAGCCCACCACACATCACAAACAGACTACAACCCCAGGCTAGCAAATCTGCAGGCTTGCCTCATTCATTTCTCACCAAGTTTGCTGGTTTTACTGAAAACACCTGCCAGGCACAGATTTTTGCTCTGGGTTTCAGACCAATTCCACTCCCGCTGGCAGCAAAACTGCCAGTTTTTACAGACACTCCTACCTTGGCCTGTAATAATCTAGCTGGGATAGAGGAGAGATGAAAACAGCCCCAGGCAAGAAGGCCACTGTCTCTCACTATTTTAACCTGAAACTCTGTCAACTTTTCATAAATAAATGATCTCTTTGTTGTTTCCCTTTGGTTGATTTCTAGAGGCCTTGGAATGTTTGGGGGATTTGCTTTGACAATTAATAGTTTTATAGTTTGCTTTTGAGAATAGGATTTGCTGACCACCTCTTTTTCTCCATTGTCCAAAGAACTACTTTCAAAGTATGCACTCCTTATTCCATAGTGGAGCCTTTTTCTATCATTTAATTTCTGTTCTGGAGAACAATTTGACATGTGATGCTTGACTAAAGTGGTACAAGAGATAGGATTGAACCTGTCCCAAATAAACAAAGAAAAAGAATGATGTGAAATTTGAAAATGTATATTTTAGAGTTGTTTAAGTCAACCTACTAGTAGTCTTGAACTACTAAATGATCTGTATAGGAGGATAAAGATTAGAAAGCCATCAGCTTATTAGTAATTAGAATTCACACTATGGTTTTTATATTAAAGGCATGATTATGTTACAGCAACTTAGTAGCACTGGCCACCAATTGTATGAAATGGTGGCTAAAATAAATAATGAACATTTAAAAATCATGATTTACATGAATTTTAAGAGAAAAGAAGTATTATTCAATGCTCCTATTGTTTAAAGTTGGAAATGCATCTCCATCCCATCAGAGTCTTATTTCAGTTCCATATCTTCTTCCAAAAACACATCTTCATAAAAGACAGCATGCCAGCCTATTCTCTGGAAGAATGTGTAGATGTTTCATTTCAAGAAGGATCAGTGGAGTTTGGTTTAAGTAATATAAACAATCTCACAAGAATTCAAGAATGGAGAATAATTACACCAGGATTCATGGGGGTGGAATCTAAATGGTCAGGACAAGGCTATCTCTCCCAGTTTTAATGGAAATTCATGGTTAGTGGGTCTCTGCTTCCTGCAGGTTATTTTATTTGTTCTTCTACTTTCCTCAACAACAACAACAACAATAAAACTTACTTCTTTGCCCATGGTCTCTCTGCTCCCTCAAAATACCATAACTTTAGCTTGTCATGAACTGACTTTTATTTGTCTTTACAGACATTATAGCTGTTCTTTCACAATTGACATAGTCATTAAGTGTTCACTGTACTATTCTCAGAAGAAACTGACTCACCGATTTGACTCAGTCCTCTCTAACCAGTGTTTTGCGTTTATAAAGGTAATTCTGATTTTCTATGGCCACCCTGTCAGCAGGAGCCATGGGTGGAGATTTGCTTAGAAAAGGGGGATAGGTTGGGAATGAGGACAATGCCTGACATCTATGATATAATCGGTTTATTCCTAAGTGAATTTTCTATTCCCCAAGTGCTAACAACTTTTTAAAAATTCTCTCTGAAGCAATGCACTCAAAATTTGCTTGGGATGAGCTCTTGAAATTCTTTTATTTAAAACTTACCATAATCTCCTTTTTAAAAAATATTTTATTGATTTTTTACAGAGAGGAAGGGAGAGGGATAGAGAGCTAGAAATATCGATGAGAAACATCCATCATCTGACTCTTACACACCACCTACTGGGGATGTGCCCGCAATCAAGATACATGCCCTTGACAGGAATCGAACCTTGGACCTTTCAGTCCGCAGACCGATGCTCTATCCACTGAGCCAAACTGGTTTTGGCCATAACCTCCTTTTCCTTCTCTAGTTTGATATGGATCTCAATTTTTGGTTACAGACTATTTAACATAAATGCTTGCAATATATCATTTTAATTAATGTGTATAACTACATGTGAAGAATTGAACCAAGGAAAAGTGAAGTCATTTCATGGGTGAGAAAAAAGCTAAAGAAATTATAAAGGCTAAAATGATCATAGTTCATGTGTTTTCCTAGGGCTACTGTAGCAAATTATCACAAACTAGACAGCTTACAAGTAAAGCAATAGAAATTTATTCTCTTGCAGTTCTGGAGTCTAAAAGTCTAAAAGCAAAATGTCATCAGAGCCATGCTTCCTTTAAAGGCTCTAGGAAAGAATCATTTCTTGCCTCTTCTTAGCTTCTGCTAGTGGAAATTCTTGGTTTTCCTTCATTTATAGCTATATCACTCCAATTCCTGCCTCTGTCTTCACCTGGTTATCTTTCCTCTGTGTGTCTTGTCATCCAAATCTCTTTCTCCTTATAAACACACCACTCATTGGCTTTAAGGCCCTAACCCATTATGATTTTATACATACATCTGCAAAACCCTGTTCCCAAAAAGTTTAAATATACAGGTACTGAGGGTTAGGACTTCAGCAAAACTTCCTAGGGGACAC